CACAAACAAAACCAGGCGAGTGTGTCTCTGGAGACACACAACTGAGGAGACACGCCCATGAGGCGGCTGCAGGCATGGGCACTAACTGCTAAAGGTGAGGCTGCTAGCTTCCTGTTCCGGGTTAGGCATGGTGCCTGTCACTTCTTTAGTACATTGCCAATGTCCCAACTTTACACCTGAGGACTGGAACGCACAGAGATCTGAGATGGGAAACAGATTCTCCCTCAGCTACACTCTGGCGCGGACATCTTTGCCTTGATGACCTTTGGAAGAATTGGTGGCCACAGGGGTGGCAAGAGCTCAACTGAGCACTGACCAGTCGGAGTCACACCGTGTGTCCTGTGACACACGGCTCCACGCTTGCTGTCTCGCACAGGCATCGCACGCAGACTCACCGCTGGCAGCAAGCCCTGCTCCTCCTGACACTTGTGGGTTACCCCCAGAGTGCTCCTGCAGGGCAGGCTGCAGGTGCCTCGATCTGCAGCTGAGGACAGGGTCAGCACTCGAAGAGGAAGCTCAGTGACAGACTCCAGGGTAAGCACAGCATAAAGCAATGCTACCCAGCCCATCCCACTCCAGAGAGGGAGAGCACATACAACAAACAAGTTCTAAAGTACGTCAATCCTAATACAGGTAGAGAGCAATCATCTGCAGTGAGCTTACAGTTTTTATGTTTGAAACTAGGAAAATAAGCCAAGAGCCCATCCACTCTCAGAGGGCATACAGTGCTGCTACACACAGATGACAGTCAATTCCGTTTCTAACCAGTAGGGGGCGCGGTCATCATATAACTTACTCTCCCACCCCCACAAGAAACTGCTTTAAGGGATAGTTTTCAAACTAGTAATTAAACATCAACAGAGCCAACAGATTCACTGGTCACGAGAACCTAAAAAGTAGAAATGCAGGCACGCTCCCAGTGAGCAGTCGGCTTACTTCTACCTTAGAGACAGCCACCCCACCCCAGGCCACCCCTGGGTGTACAGGGCAAATGATTAGCATTCAGCATGCTGGACTGACAAAGCTTGACAGACACACACAGGAAAACAGGAACGTTCTCCGACACTGGATGTTTGGGCTGGGTGGTCTCTTGCTGTCTTCACCAACTGCACCCTCACTGTGGTTTCGCATTCACAGGCGTGGCCCTCTGCTGGAAACATTAGAGACTGAGGGCATGTCTCAGAAGTGAGGTGGTTCTGAGGGAACTGCTGGATGCTGATTTGATCTGTGGGCTGAACTTCATGGTGTTTTCAATATCCAACTTTTAACCTATAAAACTGGCACATTCAGCATGCTCTCTCCTCATGCTCAGGCCACTTGTCCATTCCCAGTGAATCTACTTTACAAAGCTGCGTCAGGAGCCACGTCTCTAACGGCAGCACTAGGTGGCAGTAAATACACAGGCGCCACAGCAGGGCTCTCTTTCTTTTTCTCTTTTTTCCCCCTCACTCAATCGGAGGCTGCAGAAAATCCAACTCTAGGGGGAAAAAAATCAAGGCATCAAAAAAGAAGTAAAAATCACCAAGCTACTTGGTGCAGGGAATTTGAGAACACAGACAACTTCATAAAGCCGGGACGATTTTCCAAAAGGTCTTTGTTCTGTGACAAATCTTAATCACATAAATACACTTAGATGCTAAAGAGTTTGAAGAGAAACGTAATATTTTAAATTGCTTTTTCCATCAATGTTAAAATTTTACTTAAAAAATCATTTATGTATTTTTATAATTTACTGTGGCTTTTTAAGCAAAATTTTACTTAGAGACCATGAATAAATAAATAAATACACTAAAGTACAATATACTGTTATCTGTGAGAAAGACATTTCTAAAAACTAATAAGAGCTGGGCATAGTGAAGCAACCTTGTAATCCCAGCACCTGGAGGCAGAGGAAGGAGGATCAGGATTCAGGGCTGTGCACACTGAGGGTTGATGCGAACCATACACATAGTGGCTGGCACAGCTGTGCTGGTCAACATACCCATCGCCTCACAGTTATCTTCTAAATCTGAACCAGCTAAATTTCCAACTTGTGAAAAGGAACTAAAGAAAAGCTAACAGCTGGGTGTGTGGTACACACCTTTAATCCCAGCACTGGGAAGGCAGAGGCTGGTGGATCTCTGAGTTTGAGGCCACCCTACTCTTGGATCTAGAGATCCAGTTTCAGGACAGCCAAGCATTGGCAGTGAAGGACAGAAAGCTGGTAAAGATGTAATTGATTGAACAAGGGGACCATGTTCTAGCCCCAGTAAGCAGCAGAATTTGGCAGCTTTGGCCACATGATTCTGGGGTTAAGGGTAGAAGAAAGGGGCTATGGAATTCGCCCCTGAGACTAAGGAAAGTCGCTGAGGCCAGGAGTATGTCAGGGGGCCTAGAGAGGCCATGGTGTGAAGCTGTGAAGTTGAAGCCTGGGTTGCCTTGGAGACCCAAGATGTTAGAGATGCCAGAGTCATGGGATACCCGCTGAGGAGAGCTGATAACAGGGATTGGAACCAGCCCAAGAGAAAGAAGTGTGTTGCAGTCAACAAAGCTGAACGGAGTTGGAGATCTGAAGAGCACTTTGACATCATCAGACATGGAGATGTAGAGTCTGGAGTTTGCCCAGCTGGTTTTCGGTCTTGCTTTGGTCCAGTATTTCCTCACTATGCTCCCTTCCCTATGTCTGAAATAGTAATGTATATCCTGTGCCACTATATGTTGGAAGTATGTGATCTGCTTTTTGATTTTGATTTTACAGGTGATTACAGTTAAGAGATTAAGGGAATCTCAGAAGAGACTTTGAACTTTGGACTTTAAAACGTTGTTGAGACTGTGAATGACTATGGATGTAGGGTAAAAGAGCAAGCCAAAGAAACACACCCTACCCTGAAACCAGAGCCAAAGAACACACCCTGCCCCTGACCAACTCTGCATGAAAACCAACCAATCCCTGAAAATGAAATCTAGCCAATCTCTGAGCTCAGGGATTGAAATCTGACCAATTCCCACCATGAAAGTCTTCATCCTGGAAAAGCTATCCCTAAGAAGCCCTATATGAGCTTTAGACCTGTTTAGTGTGAAGCTGCCTTTCCCACCCCGGCAGAGGCAGCCACTCTCCTGTATTCCTCCCTCCCAATAGTTCTCTTGAATGAGGTTTGAGTGACTACCTTCTTCTGCTAGAGTGAGGCAGGGCAGAGAAGTAACAATTTTTGCTGGAGCAGGAGCAGAACCAGTACATTCCTGCAGGGAAACCATCCTCCATCAGAACAGAGCTGTAGGTATTGCCTGACTTCTGATGGCCAGGATACCTTTCCCTCCAGAGCTGTAACACTTACAATGGGAACTTTTGAAGATGGACTAAATGCATTTTACATTATGATATTGTTACAAGCTTATGGGGGCTAGGGAGTGGAGTGTGGTAGTCTGAATGTAATTGGCCCCAATAAACTCATAGGAACTGACATTATTAGGAGGTATGGCTTTGTTGGAGCAGATACGCCTTGTTGGAGGAAGTATGTCACTATAGAGGTAGGCTTTGAGGTCTCATGCCCAGTGCCTCAAGTTCACTTCCTGTTGACTTTCAATCAAGACTTCCAATCAGTACTATGTCTGTCTGCACGCCGCCATGCTCCCAGCCATGATGATAATGGAATGAACCTCTGAACTGTAAACAAGCCACCCCAATTAAATGTTTTCTTTATAAGAGGTGCCATAGTCATGGTGTCTCTTCATAGCAATAGAAACACTGACTAAGACAAGCTCTCAACTTCATTTCCTTGTCAGCCCTGAATCCAGAAGCCTTGGGTGTATGACATGCTACCCACTCAACAGTCTTACCAAGTCCTGTTTCTTTACGTTTCCACAAGTATTACATTTTTAACTAGGCACGAAAAGGCACAATGTTCTCTGGTGTTGAAAATTACCAGCAGTGGAGGCAGCTCTGAGGATTTCCTGCTTATGTTTGGTCCCTGATTAATTTTCCAGACATGGGAGTAATGCATATTCCAAAACATGATAAAGTGAAAAGTGAGACACACACACAGCCAGAGTACCTGTGACTTATGGTGAGACTATGTGCCTTTCTACAAATTAGCACAGCGCCTGAGTGTTTCTCAGTGGATACCGCTGCAGCGAACCAGGCAGAAAGCACCAACTGTTGGCTTCATGACAGCTAGAGTGGAGGGACACAATTTTCCCTGCTGAGCTCAAAGGCCCTCACTGTAAGCCCCGCCCCTGGAAGCCTCCAGCTGCCAGGCTCCACCCCTAGACTACTTTGGCAGCCAGGCCTGACCTCTTGAGGCTTGGGCCTAAGGAGCCTAAAAGCTAGGCCACATCCACAGACTTCAATCACTCAAGGCAGGAGGTGGCTAGGCCCCACCTACAGAAAGAAGGGGGGGGGAGTGCAATACCAGGTCACAAAATCCCACCAATCCCTGAGCTTGACCCAAGATGAAGTCACATCACCCCTCCAATACCAGGCCACCCTGGAAAGCTCCCACTACCCCCCCAGAAACCCTATATAAACTCTGTATTCTGTTCAGTTCTCTGCTGCTGCTCACACAGGCAGAGGCAGCTGTCCTCCTGGGTTTTTCCCTCCCAATAAGTTGCTTGTGTAAGGTTTGTTGTGTAGTGCAACTTTGTGGTATTCCTTGGCTCCTGACTGCCAGGATACCTTTCTCTTGAGAGCTGTAACACTTCCATTGGGGAAGTCTTTCCCCTCAGAGCTATAACACTTACACTACCAACAAGAGTTTCTTAGGATTCACTTAAGAAAACAGAAGGGACATTTTCTTAGAACAAGCTAAAAACACATGTCAGCCCACAGATCCAGCAGTGTCTAGAAGGTGTGTTCCTGTGAGCTGGGCAGGAAGCAGCGGAACACAGTCAGCACTCTTTGATTTGCTTTCTTACGGCTCAGGCTTGCTTGTTGGCATGGACTGCAGCAGAGGACAGCTCAGCTGGAGGACAGCTCAGCTGGAGGACAGCAGAGGCCCATGGCATGGATAAACACTTTCACTCACCTCCACGGCCACCACGATCAAAACCAGGTCCGTTTTGGATTCTGGAAAGACTGCATTCACTTGTGGTGACATTCCGATCAGAGCACAGTTAGTGACCACAGATATAACACTCATTGTCTCAAAAGCCAACTGAAAGGAAAACAAGGTGTGGCATTAATGGTGGCAACAGCCACGTCCCATGTCCATGCTATCTGAACCCCAAGTGAAAGTCCTTCCCTGGGTTCTAGCAATCCACATACATTTTAAACCTCTGTCCCTTCTGGCAGGTTCTCTTTACTTAAGGAAGCTGACCCATTAGTGGGCATTTTAGATTCCTTCAGACTGACTGCTCCTGAGCAGTATGTGAGCGTGGACCCACAGCACTGTTTGTGTTGCTCATCTCCGCTTGTCTGTGGGGGATTTAAAGACTATTACAGAAAAGCGCTCCACACCCCAAACCAGACAATACCTTGCAGAGCTGCTATTTTACAAACTGTCCTACTTTGATAAATCACACGCCCCACTTGGCTTAGCTACAACCAAGCTCCAGTTATGCCATGGTCCCTTCCTGAGGACATGAACCAAAGTCCCTGCAGAATGTTAGCAAATACAGAAGCCGGGCTTCACTGGGACTTACAGAACACTGACTGGGGACCCACAAAGAGGTCCATGTGTCCTCTGGTGTGTCGCTGGGTGACAGTGGGGAACCCCGCGCTTTCTTTTCTGTTACTGCAAAGCTCCTGATGGCTGCTGCCTGGTAATGGAGCCTCTCCTAACACGCACAGGGACTGTCCCTCTGCCTCTCCTCCCAAAGGTCATGGTGTACAGAGAGTAATATTGCCAGTTACTGTGTTTGCTTGTCACTTGTGGCAATTTTCCAGTTGATTCTCCAGGTTTTCCCGAGGACACGATTCTGAGACCATATTTTCTCCAAACACAGTTTTTTCTGCCCCTTCTGTTTTATGTTTACAGTCCTTATCCTTCTCTGATTGGTTTAAACAGCAATTCTAATCCTACTGAACACCAAAAGTGACTTTACACCGCTTATCCACTGGTATTACTTGAGTTGTTCAGTCTTATATCACTTGGTATTTTCAGTAAAACTTATGTATATACTCTATACTTTGGGAAGTTATATGAATTCATGCAGTATCTAAATTCACACACAAGATCTGGCATGAACTTACGTAAAGACAAAAGTCCTACTCATCTTTATGTCATTCTCACATAAGAGACTTGTCTGGAAACCACAGTGCAGTGCCACAGACACAGTAAGAACACTGCACAATATACTCATCAGCTTCACTTGTGCCCGTCTGTGTGCACGCTTTGTTCTATGGTGCTTTGGGTGGGGGATGTTTTCCAAGATAGAGTTTCTCTGTGAACAGCCCTGGGCTGTCCTGGTACTCACTTTGTAGACCAGGCTGGCCTCAAACTCACAGAGATCCACCTACCTCTGGCTCCCTAGTGCTGGGATTAAAGGCGTGCACCCCCATGACCAACTTGTTTCACAGTTTTAATACACAAATGACTTCATGTTTTCTGCCGACATGAGGGATACTGTCTGTTTCTTAGTTCTCTGTGTGTCTGGTTTTGCCATTACACTAATTCTGGCTTCCTAAGTATTGAGGCCTAAACTGACCGGAGGGTTCCCGATGTATGGAGAAGGGACATAGCTCCTTCTCTAAACCAGGTTTGGCAGAGCCAGTAATGGGGAGCTGCAGCTTTGGGTCCTAAGAACCCAACTGTTCGCACCCTAAAAGACTCCACTCATCAGTACCAAGGCCACTGTGTGCTCAGCCTGTGATGCCCGTGAGTCATCTTGCGTCCCCTTGTGCAGCACTGCCGAGCCTGCAGCTGACTCTGTCCCTCTCTGCCCTGGAAGGAGGGCGTAGGCCGCTGCACTTCCTAGTGAGCCTGCTGGCCCCAGACAAGCATGTGCAAGACCTCCTGAGCCCTCTGCTCTGTCTTCTTTACCTCTGACCCTCTGGCCTTCCTCCTCAGGAGCCTCTCGCTCAAGAATGACCTGCTGGTCAGGCCACACAAAGAAAACACTCCCTCTTTCTCTACTTTCTAGAAATTTATAAAATCGGTGTGACTTCTTTTTAAGTGGTGGAATTTGTGGTATGGTTATCTGAGCCAGGACCTTTCCTCTGGAGATGTGGACTCCAGACTCAGCTTCCTTCACAGTCACAGAGATACCCAAGTGACTTTCTCACCCCCTCCTCTCCTCCACTCACTGACTGAGCTGCAGCAGGAGGCTCTGCTTTTGAAGGGAAGGTCCTCCCACTAGGTGTCAGGTTCCTGTGACCATGCACACACCCCTTGCCCCTCCCCCAAGGCTGCAGGCCTACAGACACTGATCCACTCCACTCCTGCTGGACACGGCCACTGTGTTTGTCTTCTAGGACCACATCTCTGACGCACTGATCTTATTTCTGTCTTCAGTTTATCTGATCTGTTCTCTTTCCTATTTCCTTTCTTCTGCTGGCCCTGGGTTTATCTTGCCTGTCTTTTCTAGTTTATCAAGCACTTGGTATCTGAGATCCTTTTCCAGCATTACCACCCTGTGCTGTGAGTTCCTGACAGCCCCTCCTTATCAGCCATGCCCCACACACTTCTCTTTTGGTTTGGTGAATCTTTGGATTTCATCTGAGAATTTTCCCCCCATGGGTACTTTGTGCTGTCTAGTTCCCAGTGTTTCCACCGGTCACTAACCCTAGTCTGATCTCACATCGTGGTGTTCTGTGTACAATTCCAACTCCTTGAGTGCTTTCTGTCCAGAGACAGCTGGATGTCCTGCCAGACACAGCCTGTGGATGGCACCACTGAGCCTTCTCTACTCCCGGTGACTTTCTTCTTCCATCTTGGGGAGGGAGTAGTTTCATCTCTAACTACAGAGCTCATCTAGTTCCCCTTTCTATTCAAGTTCTCTCTCTCTCTCTCTCTCTCTCTCTCTTCCTTTTAAAACTGTTGCTTGATGCATACACCTTTCAGTTTGATGTTTTTCTGAGAATTTGTCCCCTTTTCCATGGCAGACTGCTCCTCTCTGGTAACCTTTGCCTCGGAAGTATCCTTTGTCAGACAGTATCACAGCCACGTCTGCTTGCATTTTCTTTTCTTTTGAGTACTGTTTCCTTATTTTCCCTTTGACTTTCACCCTGTCTGTATCACTCTGTGAATTGTTTCTGATAAACAATACACGCCTGGTCACATTCGCATCCACTCTGCCAATCTCAGTCTTTAATCTGGATCTTTAGGTCATTTATAGTTAGTGTAATTGTTGGGACTTAAGTCAGACACTTGCTTTCTATCTGATCCCTGTTTTTACTGTTTGCTTTTCTTATTGATAATAATTTTGAGCTTATTTCCTGGTAACTTTTAGGGGTGCTCTGGATATTCTACATTTTCTGCTTTTAGAGTTTTTCTTTCCCCCAACAATGACTAATAGCTTTCATTGTTCTTCATGTAGTTACCTGCCATACACCAATACTGGCTGAAGGTTCTGCAAATGGTCGTTTGAAGACCCTGCACATTTTCAAGGCATCTGAGTTGACTTCAGTGAAGTTATTTAACACAGCAAGGGCAGCTGCTAATGGGTAAACACAGGAAAAAAGGCTCACATAGCCAAACTGCAGGAACAACTCCAAATAATCATCGAAGGTTCCCTGCAATGTAGACAGAAGGCATTGCTCAGTGTCACACAGAAATCTGCAATACTTTCAAAGGTTAGCTACTAAAAACTCAGGGTCTACTCCAATCCTCCCTTCCCAACCACAAATTCATACAAATTTAAAGATGATTTTGCTCTAAGTTGCTGAAATAAGGATCAAAATTATTGAGTTGTATAGTGGGTAGCCATTCCAGCTTGGATCTGGAAGTTCCAACCCCCATTGAGACTCTGGCAACTGTCATGCCTACGAGGCGGGGCGAGGGGAGGCGCCTGGGGACCCGAGAGCTGGATGGGCCAGCGCTCTCTCTGTGCCGGGACTCTGAACGGTGAAGGTGGACTGTGCAGAGCTCCGGAGAACACTGCTGGACTGCGTTACACCTTCCCCAGACCCTGCGACCTACCCATTACTTAATTTGTAAGTTACGCCATTAAATAAATATCCTTTTAACTACGTGGAGTGGCCAAAATAATTTCTCCAATAGAGTTGCCTATTTTCCTCATGTACAGATCACTGAATCCATCTTCCACCACTACCACAAGGCAAACAATAGAAAATCTAAACATGGTTGCTCTTAATGATCCAGCTAAGAGATATCCTTGATGGGTCATGGTGACACACACCTTTAATCCCAGCACTCAGGAGGCAAAGGCAAGCAGATCTCTGAGTTTGAGGCCAGCCTGGTCTACAAAGTGAGTTCCAGGACAGCCAGGGCTACACAGGGAACAGTGTCAGAGAGAGGGGGGGGGAGGGAGGGAGGGAGGAAGAAAGGGAAGGAGGTATCCTTATCTACAGGATGCCCTAACCTTCAACTATAAAGCTGATAGTGAGCGGGAAAGATGCTTCATTGGGTAAAGGTGACTGCTGCCAAGCTTGAAGACCTGCATTTGATTCCAAGACCCGTATGGTGGAAGGAGAGGGCCAACCAGATGTCCTCTGGCCTCCACATGAGCACACACATGCACACACAATCAAGTTAATAGCAGATTAAGAGGTCAGGATGATTTTTTTAAACTGATAATGATGACCCCAGTGAATCATAACGACTCTCCACAAGAGGAGCAACAATTTGTCATGACCAACTTTTGCTGTGGTGGTTCTCTGGAAACTGACAGCATTTAGCTAAGAAAAAAACAAACTTTGTGGCATTTTAGCTTTATTTCATCACCCTACTCAGTCCTGAAGTAGAATAGTTTGCATCATTATCAAAAGGAACAGAGTATGGCTGGAGCTCTCCTAAAGCCCCATCCCAAAGGGAAGCCACTGTCTGACCTGGCTGGGGTACCCTGGAGCTCAAGGCAGAGCTGAGCAGCAAGACACCCACAGGCCATCTGAAAGCTATAGCATTCCCAGGAGCCTTTACTATCATATGCTCCAGGAGCTGAAGAAGAACCTAAAGGGCTCTGTGATCTCACCTCTTTCTAACCTTTGCAAGCAGGAAGTAAAGGCTGAGGCAGAGCTGCCAACTTGTTGACTGAACACTGACAGCCCCAACCCAAAACAAAGACACATCTCAGGGAAGAGGTAACTCAACCACTGCAAGACATTGTGCCTGTGTGCGTGCATGCGTGAGAGTGTACGTGTGTGTGTTCTGTGTCCACATTTGGAATCATGCTGTTATGATCACAGTGTTCAAATATTCACACAGATGTGCAGTTTCCCTCAAAAGAGCTGATTAGGTGTCCTCTAGTATGTTAGGGTCCCCTGCTCAGGAAACTCCTCCCCCATACCATAGTGGGCTGGGTGGACCCTGGCATGTAAAAGTCCATTGCAGGGAGCTCTTCCTCATACCCAAAGGGCTGGCCAGGGAGCCCCTTCCAGCTCTCTCTGCCTCATGAGGTGACTCTAGTGACCACACGCTCACCATCAGTGCATTTACACTGGAGAGACCGTGAACCAACAGGGTTAGCAGGCCCCAGGTAAAACACAAAAGCAAGAAGAAACAATGCAGACTCAGCAAAGCAGCTCCAAGCCCAAGACACCCTTGACCCTGTGAGCTGAAAGCCAGCAAAGACAACTGACGGCAGTCCTACGAGCCCTGCGACAACCCTGAGGAGCAGAGCAGTTGTGTATGGTGTGCCGGTCAAACCATAATCTCACAGACCTAATTTATTATCTGAAGATACCTAATTTAGTATCTGAAGACTTTGCAGTTCAGGTTCCAGGGGAACATCCCAGAGTTCCCGACAGAGTATATTTACCCAGTGCCAAATTGAATGTCAAGGGAAGCAGGCACCGGATGAAGACAACAGTCAGGGCAGAGACCACAGGACTCTGAAACTGCTCATCATGAGATATTATATGTAGTGGCTGCTAAATGCCAAGAACTAGGTTTCCATGACAGACGAAACATCCTCCACAACAGAGGAAGGAAGATTAGTAGCTTATGGTCTCAACATAAATAAAATCTCAGCATATTCCCATTGAAGTGTAGTAATGCGATAGAATAACTAAGAAGATAATAATCACAGCAGAAAGAAAACTTGATAAAGCTCAATATCGTTCATGATTTAAACCCCTATAAAATAAACCATTTTAAAATAAGGGAAAAAATTGTCTCTAAAACACAAAACAAATATAACAGCCAGCAGTGAGAGGATGGAGTCCCAGAGAAGGTGAGAAGAAGAAAACAAACATGAGTGTCTAGGCAGACAGAAAGTCCAGCAAGACCCACAGGCAAGTGCTGGACACCAGGGGGGTTCAGCAAGCCTGCTGGGTAAAGACAAAATCCAATGCTGTCCACACATGTCAGCAACCGTCAGAGTTGGACCTGAAGGAGATGCCAGGTGCAAGGGACAACCCAGCTCAGCTGTGGCCCAACATAAGCACATGAACAACGAGGCAAGGGAAGAGTCTACGCCTGCCGTTCTCAGGCGTTCCAGTCCCAACTCTTCAGTGCTATTGCAGATGCTATGACCTTCCTTACACAAGTCTTATCTAGTGATGTTCATCATACTAGAAATGAAGATGGAAAATGCTTCAAAGAATCACTGAAGTAACAACACAGTATCATAAAGAGTACCTTTAAAAATAATTACATTTTCTAAATCAGAAGATGTTTAAGTGCAAGAGAGACATCCAGGCATAATCAGCTTCTTCACTGTCCACTCAGTGAAGAGGACGCTCTAGCTGGGGCACAGAGGATGGAAATCCCCCTCTCACAGACACATGGATATGAAGCAGCAAGTATAAGAGAGGGACAGCAGTGGACAGTGAAGCTCTGAGCAGCTGCACAGCCATGGGCCTGGGCGGTCAGGGTCAGAACACCTGGAGGCTGCCCTTGCTGAGGAGACAGCAGTTTCATTTTCCTCGCCTCCTCTGTCAATCATTTCTCAGGTTTTCTGTAGTGAAGGGAAAGCTGTGTTTCACAATCGTTTTAGAATCTGATAAACTGCCTCCTTCCAGACTTCAGCAACAATACTTCAGACTCGTACACGGAAGCTAGGGAGCATGCAATTCCAAGACCTCTGACTTCAGTGAGGAGCAAATGTGCCGGGGGGCAGTGTTTCAGAGAACACCCAGGGATGCACACCCAGGGATGCACACCCAGGGATGAACACCCAGGGATGCACACCCAGGGATGAACAACCAGGGATGAACACCCAGGGATGCACACCCAGGGATGCACACCCAGGGATGCACACCCAGGGATGCACACCCAGGGGTGTGACTGCTGGGCATCTTCCCTTCACAATGCCTGCAGACAGTTCAGAAGCCGGCCCGTGTCACCTCAGTGAACAGAGAAACTGTGGATGGAGAGGAGGAAGTGGCTGGATTGTATGGACAGCTTAAGAGGGAATCCTGCTAGCACAGTGTTCACCCACAGTCCCAGCACCCCTGAGAAAAATGCTCATACTAGGTTCTTACTCTGCTCTCAGAGCTCATGCTCACAACACGGACTCTGGACCAGGGAAGTAGAGCCTAGAGCCCCTTCCTGATTGTTACTGACCGCTAACACCTGCACTGTCTACTGCTGAGAACAGCTCTAGAGCCTGTGCTGTCCCACAAGAGGGGACTGCAGTCACACTGGTGCCCGTCATGCTTCACAAAGGAAGAAGATGTAAGATCAGAGCTAAGATTCAGGCAGTGTCCCCTCAGTGGCATTCATTCTCAGATGAGTAAGAACTGAGGACAGAGAGTGTGCTCTCGATCTGCACAGGACACAGTGAGCACGGGAAAATCAGCAGAGAAACCTGGGAGGAAAATTTGGTTTGGAGCTCATCAGCAGGTAAGAGTGAAGGAAGAGTTAGGTTTTCATGAGCTAGATTTTTTTTTTATTACAAGCAACCAAACATCTAATAATCCATGTGTATTTCCTCAAAATAACTGAGAAGTCCTCTGGTCAAAAGATGTCTTGGGGTAGAGAGATGGCTCAGCAGCAGGGAAAAGCACAGACTCTGTGACCTGGTCAATCCCCAAATTCACCCCACACAGAAAGCAGGATGCCATGACACATATCTGTACCTGGGGAGACTCGAAGCCCTCAGCCAGCCAACCTAGGGTCTGCAGAGCAGCGGATACAGGACACTGCCTCAACGGGGGGGGGGGGGGGAGGCGAGAAGTGACCCCCCCAAAGTGGTCCTCTGATTCCGTGTGCACAGGCTCTCTCACACACGATAAATAAATTAATAACCACTTTTAAAGGGACTGTCTTACAGTTATAATTGCAGTCACGGGTGAGCTGTCTCACGGACCATCTCCCCTGTGACCTGTCACACAGCAGCACAAGTCCCTGCCAAGTGATTTTCCACCCTCACCCTCTGGTGAAATAGAATCAAGACAGAGGCATCTTATCTTAATGCATAGTTCTAGCCTTCTAACTTCAAAGTGGTTCCTGCTGAGGGAACCCACTGCAAAGCTCTTACAGAGAGATGCACATGGGAGACAGTGAGCACACAGCACAGACTCATGAACTTGTGTGACTCTTACACACATTCACTCAAGTGCAACTCACCAGGTAAGTTCCCATTTCCTTCTCCAGGAGGACCTGCTCATACAAGGTGGTATCAACATTCGCCTTTAAAGCCTGAACCTTCCTCTTCACTTTTGCGCAATACTTCCGTTGGAGCCAGTAAGGAAGAAGAGATTCTACGACTTGGTTGAGGATCTGGGAGGTAATTAGGAGTGTGGCCAAGCTCTGAGGAGAAACATAAGCATCATGTTTCCCAAAATAGAAACAAAACCATAACACACACGATCTTTCAATGCTCAAAATGAAGTTGTATGATGTCATAAACATGAGCATTAAAAAGTTGGGTGTGAGTGAAATATTTCTAATTCACGAATAATATCAGAAGAAATTAGCTGGGCTGGATGTGGTGTGACATGCCTTTAATCCCAGCACTCTGGAGGCAGAGGGAGGCTTGGTCTACATACAAGACTCTATGCGGTGAGGCCTTGTCTTTAAAATAAATAAATAAACAAATAAATAAATAAGTAAGTAAGTAAAGCCTGTCCAGAGTCCTTCAGAGAGTAAGTTAAGCTGACATTTGACTATGATCTCATCATCCTACTATACTGTATATTTTATTTACTTATATTTTATAGCATGTTACTATAAAATGGCACTGCCAGGTTGGGGCAGAGGGAATCACTGTGACAAAAATCACAGTTTCGAGCTGTGGAGATGACTCCATCAGTAGAGTGCCTGCTGTGCAAGCCTGAGGACCTGAGTTCCTTTACAGCACCCATGCAGAGATGGGCACGGTGGTTAGTGGCTGCATCCCAGTGCTGGGGAGGCAGACAGGAAGACCCTTCAGGGTCCCTGGGCAGCCAGTCCTGCTGAATTGGCAAGCCCCAAGTTTACCGAGAGACTCTATCTCAAAAAATAAAGTGGAAAATAACCAAGAAAGACACCCAACATCAGCTTTACATCTGTGTGCACACATGCATGCACACACACAAGAAATCAATACTTAGAAGGACTGGAGATGGCTCAATGGTTAAGAGCACTGGCTGTTCTCCCAGAGGATAAGGGTTCAATTCCCAGTACCCACATGTCAGCTCACATCATTTGTAACTACAGTTCCATGAGATCTGATGCCCTCTTCTCCTCCCGCTTGTTGGTATCAGGTACTTGATGCATAGATATACATGTGGGCAAAACACCCATCACATAAAATAATTTTTAAGAGAAAAGAAATTAATACTTTGAATTCAATTTATTGACCACAGGACTTTCTCAAGCATTTCAGACATGAAACAGCACCACATAGGACCTGCTAGTCTCTCAAGTATAATATGTTACTAATGTAAAAATGAAATTTGCAAGAGCTGTTAGAGGTTATCCTAGCCACCCACGTCACTGACAGAAGTTCACAGACTGCAGACACCTGTGCCGTCAGAACTGCCTTGGGAGAGCACGGTCAGCTTTGCCGCCTTGCATAACTCATCTTGAATTTGAGTTAACTAACTTCTCCATTGACACATGTGCAGGTGCTAAGGCTTATTACTTGGAGGGGGAATAGAAATAGACAAAGTAAAGGCATAAAGCAGCCTCATTTCTAAGGCAGGAAATCGTCTGTGGGACCCTCCCCCTCAGCATCCTGTTAGCACACTCACCTGGCGCAAAAGCTTCATGTCCTTCAAGACAAAGGCAATGTAGAAGAGCGAGGCAAAACAATTCAGAAAGTTGAACTGCCAGAGAAGAAGACAGTGTTAACAGGCCTGCACCAGCTGCAAAGCCCCATTTAAAACTGAGGGACCACTGCTGCAGACAGAGGCTTGGGACTGCTCCCCTTTCCCTTCAGGCCCAAGCTCATCAACCAACTCTGCAAGTGAGTGGAGATACAAAACACAGAGAGTTCTGGCTGGAGCCAAGAGAAGGAACTGCACAGAATCCCACACATCTTACAGCCCCCACCCAGGAGGAGAAGGGACCCTGCATCCTGTCCCACAGAAGGACAGCCAGGCTCCCTGCTGTTATGTGTAAAGCCCACTTATACCAAGAATCCCCCTAAGTCAGCAGCACATGCAGGGGAAGGATGCTCCTTTTCCTTCCATGGAGCCTAAGGCGGCCTGCCCCATGGAGATGTTGGGGCCCAGGCAACCATGGCAGAAAGACCCCACTGCACTGAGCAGCCCAGACCTGGAAGCTGCTTTGTGCCCACAGACTTGAACTCTCATCCCACACCAGGAGGCAGCAGGGTGGCACTGGCTGAGAGATGCTGCCACAGCATAGAAGATGCCACTTACCACCAACACTTTCAGGACAAGATGATTCTGGTAGGCAGACTCCAATCTGTGATTCTCTACAATATTAAGAGGGAGGAGACATCTCTCAGACAAGGAGCAATGCAGGTGTGTTGTCATGGAGTAATCAGTGGGACTGTGCTCAGAGCAGAGGCACCCAGCACCAGAGCTGAAGTCTCTGGACATCTCAGCTGTTGGTCACAGCCATCCCTTGCTACCAAGATCATCAACCAGAGCACATCCTCGTCCACTGAAACAGCCTTGAGGTTGGGAATGGTTTTTTCTAAATACAGGTAAAAGAAATCTGGGAAGTGTCAGCAAATGAGCCTATTCCCAGCCACTCTGAAGAAGGGCTATACAGTGTAACAGTGAAATGGTTCGGACAGGGCCCTGGGACAAGGACTAGCTGGGAGAGAATTCAGAGTCCAGCCTCGTCTAGAAATGGGGACACAGTACAGTGACGGAGCAAGAGCAAAAAGCATCATGAGGGCTCCTGCATCAGGACTGGCCTGCCCTGGTACACAACACCTGACCTCAGGCCACCCGCGCTACCTCCTGCTACTCAGCCTCCTGCCATAGTGTAAGCACTGGCTGCTGCCTGGGTGGCTGTGGAGATCAGAACATTTGACCCAGTACCAAGAAAGCCCTCAGCAAACTGCGGCTGCTCCTATAGAACAGATTAAAAACTTAAAATGTTAGGTCCATGAAGTAAAGGCCCAGACTTCTTCCCACAGGGTAATACAGCTTATTTGTTTGAATGGATCAATATTGAACGACCTATGAACTCTACTTTAAAATCTACTCAGGTTCTTTTTTTCCACAGATGCATGCATGAGCAACCACCCATTGGCCATCCTCAAGGATGGTAGGACACAAACCTCAGTTCCTCTGGAGACACTTCCTATTTATTTTACCCTCGGCATGAAACACAATGTTATGGTCCTGAACTACCTACCCTGACTACACTATATTGTGGGTGCCTTGATAAGCATCACTACCTCCTATCTATAAAAGAGGGGAAGATCTGCTAGTTCATGGTGCTCCAAAAGGTGAAAACGAGAAACTGGAGTAGTGCTCAGCAGCGTGCACAGAATGTTGGCTGAGTGAGAACTATGGCAGCCACAATATGGAGGTCAGTGGAGGTCACAGGGCTGGTGAGCTGTGTCTCAGGTTTGGGTAGCAAGACTAGAGGACTGCTATCTACTCTGCAAGGCAGCAGCCATGGAAGCCCAAGAATCTAGGGGAAATTTTTATTTTTATTTTGTTTGGTGTGGTGTTAAGTATGTGTGCATATGTGTACATGTGTGGGTACATGGGTTCCACTCTGGGGAGGGGGGATGGGCGGGTGGGTGTGTAGATCAGAGTTGGTTTTCTTCTTCAACTATGTAGGTCTCAGGGATAAAACTCAGGTCCTCAGACTTGAGGGCAGGTGCCTTTTCCAGCTGAGCCACCTCGCTCTGACCCTCGGACCTCAAGAAGTTCTTCTCACAGGCAAGTGAAACGTGAAACGTGTGGAAGCTTACCCCAAGATGTTAAGAACTCAGCAGCATATCGATAGAGGCGGTTCATGATCTCAATCACAATGGCATAAACAACACTGGGCACATACAGCAGGAGGCTGGTCCACACGGACTCACTGTCCTCGTGGAGACTCAAGACCCAGACCTCCATATCAAAGTATACCATCATGACGTAGAGGGAGAAATAGAGGCAGAGGCACACAAGCGGCAGGGAGACCAGGTAGACGCGCAGTTGTCTCTTGTAGCTGGAATAGAGCGGTTCCTCCCTGCCGGTGACAGAATTGATGCCCAGGACTCCGTGAAACCCGGGCCGGGGCTCCTCAAACTGCCTCTTCATGACTAGTGTCCCCCAGCGGTAGGTCATGTTGGCGCAGCCACGTTTCCACACCTCCAGGATCACTGTGGACCAGATGAGGTTGAACGAGGCAAAGATGACGTACTTGTCATAGTCTTCCCACACAAACAGGTAGTAGGGCAGCCCGATGACAGCCATGGGGATTAAGGCAAAGGTGAAGTACTCCAAGAACCCGAAGTACAGAGCGATTGTCTCCCCAAAGTAGGCACGGATGTTGTCTACAGGGGAGAGAAGGGAAGAATTGAGGCTCAGGTTACCAGAGACTGCCATTTAACCATGGCACAAGTGGTTGCATGTTTTCAGTGGCTGGGGATCTCTAACACCTCCATTTCCATCCTATGTGGCGTAACAACTCTGTCCTGCATACAGTGTGCAAAGACCCCACCTGTCAGTGTGACAACCCTTGCACTTTCCCAGTTCATAGTTCAAGCCTCAGCTGCCGGAGTGACTGTCAGGAGCCTTGGCTCAGTTTCCCCCTTCATCTAACAGATATTTTATTGCCAAAGAAAAATCATCTTGGGATTATCTTAATCTATAAGACCCTAGGTAAAGTTCACCCATGGACACTGAACCACTGTGTGGGCATCTATGGACGCCCTGCTTTCCTCCCCACCAGTGTTACTCCATGCAGCTCTTTGTAAAGATGATCCACACCCATGGCACCTTCATCTCCTACCTAAAGTCAGACATCAGGGAGACATGACCAATTTCCCAATGCATTCAGCATAAATCATTCACAGCCTTGAAACAAGATTCCACACATTAACTTCCAGCTCTAGCACATCCTACCGAGAACATTGTGCACACCTTCATATGAGCACTGGACAGGAGAAAGTCTGAGCAGCCTGCTGACAGGCTGTGAACTGCAACACACTAACCAACCAAAGAGGTCATTCATATAGCACCTCTGCCAGCTTTGGTCACATGGGGGATCCCTGGACCTCAGAGCAGCCAGGCTGGGACAAGAATGGGATGAGGGTGGGAGGGACAGGGGACTAGTCAGAGTACTTGGTTCTTAATTATACATTAGATTTTAATTTACTTGGTTTTAGTTTTTAATTTATTTCAGTTTGTGTATATGTGTGTGTCTGAGTGTATGCATGTGCACTCCATGCATATAGTGCCCACAAAAGTCAGAATAGGGTATCAGCAGATCCCCTGGAACTGGAGTTACAGGTGATTGTAAATCACCCTGTGGGTTCTGGGAGCCAAATCCAAGTCCTCTGCAAGAGCAGCCAGTACTTTAAAGTGCTAAGGCATCTCTCTAGCACCACTGGTATTTAAAAATTTTTAGTACTTTAAAGAACTTGTGTGTATGTGTGTGCATCTGACATTTGTGTGTGTAGCATGTGCATGCAAGTGCCCACAGAGATAGAAGGCAGTAGGTTCCATGGAGCTGGAGTTACAGGGAGCTGTGAGCTGCCTCACATGGGTGTTGGACTGAACCTGGGAGCTCTGCAAGAGCAGCAAGCACCCTTAACTACGAGCCACCTCTGCAGCCCCTTAACTGACTGGCTTTGAAGACGTTATGTTCAGATATGCCTATGAAGACAGGCTGGAGTGATTATGGTGAGCTATTTACTCCTGCTCTTGATTCTTCTAGCTGACCTGGGAGGGAGAGTATTAAAACAGAGGTATGATGAGGCCATCTTAAGTCTGAATCAGGCTGCTGCATGCCCAATCTGCACAAAACACAAGGGCTCATGTGTGTGCTGGTCTCCAAGCCAGTGGCTTTCCCTTTGCCTGCTCCTCTCAGGAGGCCCAGCCCTCCCCAGAGGCTTAGTATACCACAGCCCACACCCAGGTTTCTCCCCAGGCTTTCTTTCCCTTTCTAGGAACTAGTTAATAGAGCCAGCCGCCTGTAGTCTCACAGGCAATATTTAAATTATTGCCACTTAAAAATCAAAACAGTGAAAAATTCTCTTAAGTATAACATAAAAATGAGTACTGTGTACCTGGAATTATCACAACAAAGCTTTTTCTTTCAGAGACTACAAGAAAAACTTTAAAATGCAATTTCAGTGTTTGGTATTAAATAATAAAGAAAGAAATAAAACGTTAATACTTTATTTTTACGTGTGTGCTGGGAGGGTGCCCTCAGAGCAAGAAGAGGGTGTCAGATCTCCCTGAACCTAGAGTTGTGGGTGGTTGTGAGCCACCCAGCATGTGTGCTGGGACTGAACTCAGGTCCTCTGCAAGGGTTCTTAACCCCTCAAGCTCACTCTCCACCTCCAACCTTGCTTCTTGTTTGACATTGTAGTAGCTGTTTATGGAAATGGAAATTAAAAAGAAACTATAGAAAGAAGACTTCTCTTAGAAGAAGAAGAAGAAGAAGAAGAAGAGGAGGAGGAGGAGGAGAAGAAGAAGAAAAGAAGAAGAAGAAAAGAAAGAAAGGTCTTTTAAAGAAAAAAAAATGACAGCAACACTTAGTGAAGCTCCAGCTTGAATATCATCAGTCTTATGCTTAGAAACCCAGCAAAAGGCGGGGTGTGGCTTAAGGTTAGAGCACTTGCCTAGCATGCTCAAAGTTTAATCTCCAGCACTGACAAAAAGTTTTTTCAAACACATAACCAAACAAAAATGTTTGAACATTAATACTGACGTAACTTTCAATACATACCAGAGAAAGTATTCTTGTAACTATTCAAAGAAAATAGATGGATCCCTGAGGTAAGATGTTTAGGCCATTGAGTCTGCCTCAATTCAAGCTTGGCTTGGCCAGCTCCATGGGAATAGAAAATGTCAAACACAAAATATTCACAGACAAGCTACACTCATGTGAAGACATGAATTCACCTGTGCTGGAGAGATGGCTTAGCAGATGAGAGTACTTGCTGCTCTTGCAGAGGACCCAAGTTCAAACCAAACCACGTCAGGCAGCTCAGAACTGCTCCAGGATCTGATGCCCTCTTCTGGCTTCTGCAGGTACTTACACTCATATGTACAAACCCCAACCCCATCGCTATACATACACACATACATATAACTAAAAACATGTAAGATTTTTTTTAAGACATGTATTCACAAAAGCTACTCTAAACTGCCTATGCTGTAGATCAAATTTAGCCAAAGCCTGAATGATATTTTAGAAGGAACAAGGCCATCAAGCCATCTTCTTGCCCTTGTAACTGCTAAGCACTGGCCAGGAGAGTGAGCACTGAGTCACAGGACAGTGACTTTGTCAGGGCTCTCCTCAGTGGGACACAGGCAGTGACACATACCTATGGGCTGATACTTCAGAGCAAACCGCGTATACCAGCTGTCCTCAAGCTTCTTCAGGGCCTCACTGTCATGCAATGGAAACACCTGGGTCACGATGCCGGACGTGAGCAATCTCCTCACTGAAAGGAAGCATGAGAACTGCCTCAAACACAGGGGTGTGGTTTAGTATGCCGGTCATATCGTCGCTGCCCTGCCAGTTCCGAATGTGAACAACGTAGTTCGGAATATCAATACCTTTACTATTTTTCTCTCACGAGGAAAGCAGTGCAAGTTGAGTAAAATTCTAAACCATACAAATTGTATAAATCAGAAGCATGCAAACTTTCCATTCTTCTCTCTATATAAAAATAGCCACTATAAACAGCAACTTAATGTATAACCAGATGTCAAAATATACACTGAAACCTATGCACAAATATACTGATGTTGAAATACAAAGCAGGAATCGTCTCACACACTTCATATTGCTCTTCATCATTTGAGCCATGGTATCTACAACTTTTCAGTATCACCCTTTTACAGCTGTCTCCCAGCATGAACCTACTGTGAATAAGTCTGTACTGAAGAATGATTGTTGCTGGTTTTCGTCATTGTGAATAATAAAATTCTTTTTTTTTTTTTTGAGATTTATCTGTTTTATGTGTGTGACTATTTGCCTACATATATGTGTTGCACCATGTGAGCACCTAGGACCCACAGAGGTCAGAGGTGGTATTGGATCCCCTGGGACTGGAGTTACAGATGGTTGTGAGCCACCATGTGGGTGCTGGGAGCTGAACCCAGGTCCTCTGTAAGAGTAATAAGTACTTTTAACCTCTGAGCCTTCTCTCCAATCCCCCCAAATCCTGAAATTATTACACACATACATTATCTCACCTTTTCACTCTTTCCTCATCAACAACAAATGAATTTTAAATCTGGACACATCTTACAAAATCCCCCCCCCCAATACTCTAACCTCCCTCAGTACAATTGTTTTGTTTCTGTTGATAGCAAGTATTTTCACTCATTTTTATCTTTCCAATCTAATGACAAAAACATATCCACAAACAGGAACTTCAAATATCACACTGAGCTCCCCCCTTTTCTATGAGGTCGAATGACAAGTATGGTTGGAACATTCACACACAACATGGAAAAGACAAGCACAAGCAGACCAGTGCCTCCTGGCATTGCCTGACAGCCCCAGAATCTCTAGTCTGCACAGGTACTGAGAGTGACCCACTAGTGTGCAGGGCTTTGGTCCTAAAGGCCATACCAGGGCGCTGGGGTGCTTTTCCCATGAGCCTCTTAGAGCGCATGGCTGTTCCTACAATGGGATTCGCATCAAGAAGATGGGCCTGCCAGGCAGTGTTGGCACACGCCTTTAATCCCAGCACTCGGGAGGCAAAGCCAGGCAGATTGAGTTCGAGGCCAGCCTGGTCTACAGAGTGAGATCCAGGACAGTCAGAGCTACACAGAGAAACCCTGTCTCGAAGAAAAGAAGAAGAAGAAGAAAAAGAAGAGGAGGAGGAGGAGGAGAAGAAGAAGAAGAGGAAGAGGAAGAAGAAGAAGAAGAAACGGCCTATTCGTGTGATAGAATCTCAGCTGTACTCACTGGAGGGAAAACAAATGTCTTCACTCATTAGTCCTCTTACAATGATATCACTTACATAAGCTCTACACAGAGGAGGAGAGGACTTTAAAAGGCAGACTATAAAGAACCCCCTTCTTAATGACTGGAAAAGGTACCAGCCCAAAATACCAGCTGCGAGGGTGAGAAGACATATGGTTTGAGTTACATCAGCTTTGGGTGCTGTTAAGACCATTTTGTAAGTTCTTTATGCTGGAATTTCTTTTTTCTTTTTTAATTTTTATTTTTTTGTTTTTCGAGACAGGGTTTCTCTGCGTAGTTTTTGGTGCCTGCCCTGGATCTCGCTCTGTAGACCAGGCTGGCCTTGAGCTCACAGAGATCCACCTGGCTCTGCTTCCCAAGTGCTGGGATTAAAGGTGTGCGCCACCACCGCCTGGCTATGCTGGAATTTCTGAGGACTCTTCTTTGGCTAACGTGACTTAAGTCAGTTGCCCACAAGCCCCTAGTCCTGGCCCTCAGTGTGGGGGTGCCCAGCTGCAGCGGGGCCTCGCCATCAGTTTTTAACCACCGCTACACTGGTGTTGAAATCCTGGGCTGGCTGTGGCACTGAAGTTGCAGGCTCTTCTATGAGCGGTGACTCTACTGTGGAAGGCTCTCCAGCAGGCACCAAGAACCGCTTGTATGTCTCCAAAAATAGGACAGTGTGGAGCCTCTGGAGAGACTTCGAGTCCTGAATTACCAGTTCTTCATCACCATCAATGACAGAGCATGGTTCTGGTTTCAGCTCTAAAAATAGAGGCTGGCCTCCTCCTCGTGTCAGCTTGACTGTAACTGAAAGGAAGGGCTCTTACCTTGAAAGGAAAATAGGAGGGTTCTTGGGCCTAACAGAAGGAGGCAGCACTTCAGCCAGATTCCCTCTTTCCAGGGTACCAGCAACACACATCAAGTACTGGAGTGACTCTGAGAGCCACTGAATGATTCCAAACAGATACAACCTGACCCAAGGGAAACTCTGGGTTCCTAGTCTGCAGGACCCTTACCCGAGGTAAGGCAGCAGCACTGCTAATGGTACAGCCGCCCTTGGCTGATGGAACGTGTTCACCTCAACAGGAACAGGAGGCGCAGGACTACTGACAGGGGCTCTGTGCAGGGGAGAACAGCAGGCCGCTTCTCCTGGATCTGACCAGAGAGCAGAATGCCAGAGAAAGGGAGGGCTCCATGGCAAGGATGACCAGCACAGTCCTCACTCCCTGTGGCTGTTGGGTATCAGGGGTGTGGTAGTCTGAACATAACTGGCCCCCATAATCTCACAGGCAGAGGCACTATTAGGAGATGTGGCCTTGTTAGAGCAAGTGTGTCACTGTGGAGGCAGGCTTTAAGGCTTCCTATGCTCAGGATACCATCCAGTGTCTCAATCAACTTCCTGTTACCTGCAAGATGTAGGACTCTCAGCTCCAGCACCATGTCTGCCTACATGTCACCATGCTCCCTGCCATGATGATAATGGACTGAACCTCTGAAACTGTAAGCCTCCACCTCAATTCAATGTTTTCCTTTATAAGAGTTGCCATGGTCATGGTGTCTCTTCACAGCAATAAAAACCCCAAGACACAGGCTGAGCAGACCACATCCATCCAAACTGGAAGAAAGCTACTCAAGGAGATAGCTATGTCTCCAAAATACACTTTGACATTCCTGTGTTTCTCATTTGGTGTTCTCCCTGTTTAACATAAAGACTACAAAAGTGTATGGCCAAACACGGTGTGCATGTTTGCTACATGTCATAAAATATAAACATGCATATCAATGGTTGAACATTCTTACATACATTCCTGACTGTGGTATTTGAAACCAACCTATGTCACTGTTCTTATGACACTGACGAGGAATCTTAGAGACAGACTCCTTTACGACCCCGTGTCCATCATACATGCAGGTGATATCCTAAAGAAGCGGCTGTTGCATTCTAAAGAAAAACCATACAAAATTAAAGACATCAACATGCCAGACCAGAACTCCTATTAATCTGCTCTTTTGTTACTATAATGCAGGGCCTGAGGTCCTAACTTTATAAGAGAAGAAGTTTTTTCATTTCACAGTTCTGGAGAATCTCAGGCCTTACACCATCTCTCAGCTCTGGTGAAAACTCATGCTGAATGAAAGAGAAACACACAGGGAGCTATGATCACATCACAAAACAGGAAGCTAGGAGTGAGGTTAGGAAAGAGCTCCACTAAAGGATGTGTGGAAACTCCAGGTGGATTTCGTGATGTCTACTTGGAGGGCTGATGGGTACAGATAAACAGAGATGGAAGTTTCCAGCAGCACAGGACCATGCTTCAGGGTGTCTGTCTGTACGGCAGCTCTACCTAGAAGTATCTGGAACATGCCTCCCAACGAAGAGAATGAAGATTACACAAGCCCTTTCGAAAGGACACCAATCAAGTGTTGATATAGAACGTGGTGTGCCTGCCTGGTTACCTGGAGCAGTGGAAACACCAACACCTTACTTGTTCAGAAGACCAAATTAAAAACAAAGAAAACCAGAAACATAAAAAAAATGTTTTATGAAATCAAATTTACAAATCCAAATCACAAGCCATGAAACAAAGCCTTTAAGGTCAGCAGAGGATAAACGAGAGCCTCTGAACCTGGATGGGGCAGGGAGATGGTGGTCTGGTATTCTGGAGTTATTGGGACACAGAGGGGACATGGATAAGCCTCCAAAACTCAGTGCACATCTGTAGTGCCTACGACAACCAATGGAAAGGCCATCAGCTGTGGCAGAGTCAAGACCCAGCACAACAGAACCCTGCAAGAACAGGGCTCCCTAGAAGCTCTCTACAGAATGCACTACCTGGAGGGGAATTCTCTGCAGGGCAAAATATAAGCCTCTCACTACCACCGCTCCTTGCTAGAGACGGTCGGTCCCTTTCCTCCCACATTCTACCTCCCCAAGGACTTCATTTCAAATGAGCTAGTGATGATTCATGCTTGCGAATCCTAGCATTAGGGAGGCTGAGGCAAGAGAACTGCAAATGTGAGGCCAGCCTGGGCTACTAAGATGACTCAAAAAAAAGACAAAAGCAATAATAAGTACTAGTCACAAAGAGACTGGTAAAGCTACAGAGAAAGCATGACCAGAAACCAAGATTGCCAAGAACACCCAGCAAGCAAAGGACCAAGAAGAGACAGGAAGTCACAGTGCCACACAAGGAAAAGCTGACGACTCCAAGAGATCCGTGCAAACATGTCTCCAAAACTAAACTCAAGCAGGAGCTGAGAGAACAGAAGGAAAGGACTCCAAAAAGCAATGTGAGAAAAAGTGAAATGACTACAAATTCCAAATCAATAAAGTTACAAAGTTACAAAGAGGGAGAGACAAAAAACACAGGAGGGAAAATGATATACAAGCCTAGGACATCAATATTAGAGAGTGTATAAGATCCGGCACATACATAATCCATACCCTACAACAAAGTAAATACCATGGGGCTCTTCAAAGGCAGTTGAGGAAATGCTTCCTCAAATGATAGCCATCCTCCCCTATACAATGACAGGACACTACCCAAGAAAAGGACTGAAAAAAACTAGTTCAGCCTTTCCCCAGCTGGCAGCTCTTAGGCCACACTGTGTAAACCAGTACGAGTTGGTTAGAGCTCTGGCAGCCTTCATCAAAAAGTCCAGGGAACTGGAAGTCCCTGGATGGGTGGACACAATCGAGCTGGCCAAACACAGCAAGTTTGTTCTGTATGTGGAGAACTGCTTCCACACATGAGCGGTTCCCACAGCACTGCACCTGTGGCCCCAAGGTAGTTCTGGGGTTGGCTCCAGGGCGCAGTCTGCAGAAGACTGCGGAGATACAGCATCAAGTACAGCCACTTCAGCAGAGCCACCAAGAGGAGGGTCCACCAGGTCCTCCAAGCAATGGGGGTCGGGAGAGCTGAAAATGGTGGGAAAGGACCAAGATGGGGGTGGCACCCAAGCTAACACTTCAGGGGCAGACATCTAGGCAGGGCTGCCAGGCATGTGGCAGCTGCCAACAAGAAGCAATAGAACAAAGGATGTTGGGCTAATAAATTGCTTCATTCATTAAAAAAAAAAAAAAAAAAAAA